ATCAATGGAGGACGAAGAAGGAACCTCACTAAAAACAGTTAGTTGTGAGTAGAGGTTCCAATTTGCCTGATCAAATTGCCAGTGTGGGATACGAAGAGGTGGTGAATATGAAGGGGAAGTAAGAATGATTGGGAAATGATCGCTGTCATGTAAATCCGGGAGAACAGACCAGGTGAAGTCTAATGCGGCGGAGGAAGAGCAGACTGAGAGATCGATGCAAGAGAGTGTGAGTCCGAGGATCAAAATGGGTGTGAGTACCTGTATTTAAAACATGGAGGGGGTGGGTAGCAAGAAAAGCCTCTAACTGAATGCCATGGGAATCACAGTGAGACCCCCCCAGAGGAAATGATGGGCATTAAAATTGCCAAGTAACAGAAGCGGTGGTGGTAATGACGAAACAAGAAAGGCAATATCCGGAATAGATAATGCCCGAGAAGGAGAGAGATATAAAGAACAGAGCGTATACCACCTATGCAAGTGGATACGGGCTGCTGTGTAATGCAGCGAAGTACGAACAAATAGCTGATGGTACAGAATATCAGTGCGTAGAAGAAGGGCACTTTCATTAAAGGTCCCATCAGGAAAAGAATCTGAAGAATACAATAAATTATAGCCTGAGATGGGATAAATAACAGCAGAGTGTAATTCTGGTTCCTGTAAGCAAACACCAACAGTGGAAAACTGGGAGAATAACATCTGAAGCTCACCCCGATTACCCCTGAGGCTGCGTATATTCCCACTGTAAATAGGCCATGATTGGCAATGATAAAGATACCTGAAATCCGCAGGTAAGGGTTCCTACGGACTAGAGAGGTTAGAAAAGTCCACATGCGAGAGGCAGCGGAAAACGTTCAAGCAGCGAAGGAACGGTGTGTTGTGAAGAAAGGAGTTGTGCAGATGGAGGAGAGGAGAGAGAAGGAAGAGAGGGTGGATCAGTGCATTTTTGGGTCCGCATTTGTATGTTATTGGTGGGGTCTCTCTGCAATATATTCAGAGATTGCTTCAAGTGTTTTGGAATTCAGAGACATCGTATGGGAGACAATATTGGAGATGGTAGGGGGAGGATGAGTAAAAATTGGAACTGTAATTGACTGTACCAAGGTAGGGGGGGGGCAAAAGGGTGGAGGGAACTGGAGAAGCGTGGAAGGGGACAGAAGAGGCAGAAACCTGGGAGGTGGCAGAAGAGGAAGAAACTTGGGAGGGAACAGGGGAAGAAGGTACAGTACGAGGAGGAGGGTGAACCTCTACACTTGTAACAGCCAGTGAGAGGGGAAGAACCAGGTACAGAGACAGGGAAGGTAAAATGAGGAGGTGGAAGAAGGGAAGGAGGGGTTAAAGGGCCTCTTTTTGACTTCTGAGAAGTAGAGGGACGATTGGGAGGTGTCGTACGAGATCTTGTCGATACTGAGGCTTGTGAGGGAGAACACGAAGAAGCAAGAACAGACTGAGGTGTTGAAGTAGGGACATCTGAGCCTAGGACAGCAAAAGAATTAGATACAGGAGTGCCAGAGGAACACAGAGGATTATATTATATCAAGGAGCACAAATAGGATTATTACTTATTGAGTATCAAATGGGGAGAACACTAAAACCCGTAGGATTTGTGAGGGGTACCGGGAATGGGGGGACGTGGGGGAGTTATTGCAGGCTAATTAGGAATGGACACAAGATTTCCCTGAGCAAGGAAACTCACCATCATAAGGAACCTTCTTTTGGGGGGTACAAAACGGATTGCCGCCATTAAGTGTGGAGTTTTATTAAACAGGGAAAAGAAACAACGGGGGTTTCCCTTGGGGCAGAGTGGAACTTCCAGGCTTAATGGGATGGACACAGTCTTCCCTATCAGGTAAACGGAATTCCTGAGCTCATTTAAGTAGACTTGGCAACGGCGAGAGTACGAAGGGTGAGCCTCCATGACAATTAAGGCAAGAGGGAGGTCGATTGCAAGACGTATTAGAATGGTCATCAGCACCACAGACTGGGCATTCGGCTATAGATCTGCAATATTTTGCTGGATGGCCAAATCGCCAGCAATTTCTACAGTTGCGGTGTAGGGATCACCTTTCGAACTTGTAATCTATGTCCTGCTACATAAACTGAGGATGGGAGTTCACGGCTGAAAAAAGTTAAACGCGCCACATTGCTAGGGTATCGTCTCTGCCCACGGGCAGGAAGAGCATAAGTGTCTACCTTGAGGATTGGGAGATCTTGGAGTTTCAGCTGTTCAAGAATGTCATTGCCACATGTCTGGAAATTTTGTTGAACTATGGTATGGGGCAGAATGACTGTACCACTACAAGAATTGAGGGAATGATGTTTTTCGATAGTGAGAGGAACAGTATCTATATGGGAAAGAGAAAGATCATGAGCTTGGGTAGCAGTCTGTACAGTGATGATGCGCGTACCGCTCTTAAGAGCATGAAAAGAAATATCTTCAACATGGCGTAGGAGTGCCTTGCCAATACTGTGGTGAGAAAGATAGGCAGTAGAGGAAGTCGGTCATAAAGTGAAGAATTTAGTCCATTGTGCATTCTGAAACTGAGCATGGAAAGGGAGTGCAGGACGTGTCGATCTTTTCTGAGAAGAACGAGAAGTTGGAGAAGTATCTTCAGCAGGTAATTGTCGTTGGCGTTTAGGCGTGGGACCAGAGTTGGTCCGACGTGGAATGGGCCGGCAATTCGAAAATTGCAGTACCTAGAGGGAGAGGCCGGAAGCATGGTCAAAGGAGAGCAGAGGCCAGATAAATCGAAGGAGTCAGTCGAGACCTCAGTACCTGAAGCGGGTGAGGAAACAGCACCGGCAAGAGGTACAGAGGCATGAGGAATGTCCGAAGAGTGGTCCAAAGACGAGGCGGGGTCAGAACGGGGTGCTGTATCAAGAAGGGGCCCGGGGGTAGCAGGTTCATGGACTGGGGCTGCCATGGTTACGTTACTTTTCTTTTTGTTTAAGAAAAAAAAAAGGGGGGGGGACCGGGGAGGGATAGTTCCTAGGAGGAATGAAAGGGCCAGAAATCTCCCTCCGCACCCAAGAGGGCCTCAGCACCGCAGATGCAGCATGGAACCCGTGCCATACCCTACCCATCATGCCAGTAAACCAGCAATCCGGGATAGCAACCTCACATCTGCCGACCTACCTCGGTGGACAAGAGGGCTGCCGGATATCCGCCACAAGGCATACCTCCTTCGGCCACCACCCCCGGAATCTGAAAGGTGGCTTCCAGAGATGCATCCCCAGGCAATCCAGATTCCACGGCAAATTACGCCACCGCCAAGAACTCTCAACGGAATGGGATGGACCCCAGTTCCCTTTCCCCTACCTAGGAACTAGTGTGCCTGTGGGAAAAAATCCCAAAGGCCAAAAGGGAGGGGTGGGGAGGAGGAAAGGAAAAAGGGGAGGATGGGATAGGGAAGGGGGGATTTGGGGGTAATTAGGTTAAGTGAGGAAGGAGACTGACAGGTCTAATTCCTCAGACCAAGAGCCTCTCCACCACAAGGAGCCCCCCCCCCCCCTTGAAGAGGACCTTGCATAATACTATCCAGGAAAAAGTACTGCAGTCATGGTAGTGCAGTAAACCCCTCGAGTTTTTTCAGCACTTTGGGAAATTGCAGGAATTCAGATTCCAGCAAGGAAAGGCAGTTCCTTAGAGGAAGTCAACCCCCCCCCCCCATCACCAAGATACATACCTAGAGGAAAATCGTTACTTTATACAGAAAAGAATACATTAGCCGATTATAATCATGGAGCACTAAACCCATAGTACACAGTAGCTGGAAATTCCTACTTTAAGGCATCAGGATTAAACCTACATTAGAGAAACCACACCAGGTAATGTTTCTGGCTGCATGCAGCTTTTTGAATTGGCTCAATGAGAATTTTAACCATTGCCATGTCAGACCTGCAGGAAACCTTCAGCAATGTCAGGCCATGCAAATCTCCATGTCTGGAGGGCCACTTAGCTTACGTTAGTCAAATTCTTGTTTAGAGTGAAGACATTACACGACTACACGTGTATGCACAAGTGATCACTGCCTTCTGCCAAGGTGTAAATTTTAGAGAGGATTTAGCTAGGGAAGAGAATTGGTCCTTAAAATTACACCCTTAAGTACTGTAACTGGAGTGAAGACTAGTAAATTAATGGTGGAGGCCTACTGGCCCAAGCTAGTCAGGTCAAACTCTGTATTTTTCCAAACTTTTTTTTTTTTTAAAAGTACACATTTAAGCTTACAGTTTGTTCCACTAATCAACTTGCCAAATCAGCAACTGCTTTACAACTTTTGTCTTTCGATTTTTCCAAGTAGCCCATTGTTACAAGTCCTGTCCATCAAATCTTTAGCATTTATATTCTGCATGTACCTAAAACAGTTTCATATCAGGCATTATCTTGCCTCTTGCCATACAGTACCAGACCCAGAATCGGTAGTTCCATCCTATTTTCAATCAAGGTGCACTATAATTTCATACAGTACCCAGAGCCAATTTAAAGATTTAGTTCCTTGTATCAAGAACCTTTAAGGAAATTTTACTCAGGGGGAGTAGGAGAGGCAACAAACGCTCTAAAGCCTTAGCATCTGGGAAGGGGCATTCAGGGTTGGTTAGTTAAAAATTTTTTTATAGAAACCAGCATTTTTGTGGAATTCTGTATCCTAAAAGGGCATTCCTAAATGCTGGGAAGGGCTCAAATATGGGAACTACTTTTCAACTTAATTTTAATGCTTACCATTCATATTACAATAAAAACCTAGTGCTAAACCTATTGTGGCCATACAGCACTGCATCTCATTCCTAAAGTGCTGCATGTATGTGTTACTTCATCACAATTCATTCTTTTCTCACCCTCGTGTCAAATCTATCTGCTAGGATCAAGTATACGAGTTTGTAGTAATGGAAAGTTGTGCATGAAAGTCTTGGCAAACTTCCTTCACAACAGGAGTACAAAATTAACAGCACTTATAGAAACTTTCTCCTAAATAAAAATTACACACAAGGACATTAAAATATAATTATTTCTTAAACTTTTTAACGACATGAAGTGATGGTCTATACCAGCCAAGAAGCAACCAAAATGTACCTAAGAGACTCAAAGACAAAAAGGTACTACAATGGTGTTAAGCTGTACATTTTTTTTTCCTTCCAATCTAAAACTTAAGCACCAGTAATTCAAAAGGTAGACATTTTAAAATGGTAATGTAAAAGACATTCCAATCATTAAAAAAAAAGTGACCATCACTAAAGAAAGAATTTATGACTGGAGTTCTCTGTCAAAGAGGTATTCTCCCAAACCAGATGTACCAGCACGCTTCAGCTTTGTAATCATGTCTCCAAGTTTCTTGATGGACTCTACCTGTTCTTCCAAGAATTCATCTTCCAGCATGTTTGTCAGATGAGGGTCACTGAACTTGCTTGCAATGCCATGAAGGTCCAGCAAGCACTGGAAGGAAAATTTAAACTAGATATTAAATGAATTTTAGTTCCCTCAACTTAAGAGTTGAAAATTTATCTTTAAGAGTTCTAAAACCACTAAAGCAGCCACCGCATACTAATGTTACTGAAGTGGAAATGTATGAACCATTAGGTAAAACCACATGTCAGGATGTAGTTACTAGTGAATATAGTAAGGAAATTAAAGACAAATTTAAAGCTCATTAGTTTATGAGAGGGAAGTGGTCTCAACATCCATAAAATTAAAAATTACCAAAAGCTTAGCTACTGAAAATTGCCCTACTGAGCAAAACTTATTATACATGACCACTGGCCTTCAGAGCTTAATATGAAAAGACATACCTGGTTGACTTGCTTCTCTAGATCTAAAGCTGCCTGTAAAGCATCATGACCACTACCCCATTCTTGGAGTGATGGTGCAGAGATGGCTTGAAGTACAATGCGACCACCACGTCTGTTTTGATACTGCAATGAGAAATTGTGTTAAGAGTTTCATAGAGGTATTGAGTAAAATGAAATAAGGGTAAAGCAGCTGGAATTTAGAGATTAAAAATTTTAAGAGCAGGTGGGTATCTAGTTTTGGAGGGGTTGATAATTTTGTTAATGTATGAAAGAGGGAAAGGTACCTAGGTACTGGCAGAAAATTAAATTCCTACGAATTAGATATGGTAATTATTGAAGGAATTAAGGGCACAAGTAGGATCACACGAAAGGCTTGGGTTATGAATGAGTTCACACTGAAGCATGCGTGAAAAAAAAGCAAAATTGTTGCATTCATGTATTTAGAAAAGGCATACAAGGAAGCAATGTGGCTGATGTTGCAAGTGCATGGAACAGGTGGTTGCTTGCTGAAATTATACAAATATGATGGCAAGGATCAAATTAGGGTTGGTAGAAAGACTTTCCAGCAATAAAAGGCCCTAGATGTGTGATGTCACTATGGTTAACATTAAGAAGGGGTTGTTTGCAATTTTATGATTTTGCAAGTAGTAATAGTGGAAGTATCAGTGGTAGAAATGGTATTAAGGTAGTGGATGTAAAAAGTCAGTGTAAAGTCTTTACAAAGAGATAGTAGTATTAGTGGAGGTAGTGCAAGAACAGTTACTACCGAGAGCTAAAGGGTCCACAAGGGTAGGGCCAAATCCCACTAGGACAAAACTAACATTGAAGTGACTGCAAGGGTATTGAGAAAAAAAAAATGGGGGATTAAAATATGTAAAATCCAGATACAGAAGAGGAGTTGCCATAGCTGCTTTATGACATACTTTAGAGATTATGAAGAGTTGCAAAGGTTGGAAAAATTGTAGAGGCCATGCAAAAGGAACTGAAGTGAACACGGGAAACTGGAAGGAGTATGAAGTTAATGTTCAGATATTTGGGAGTAAATTTGTTGAAAGCTGGGTATATAAGGTGGGCTGTGCACAAAGGCATTGGAGATTTAAAAGAGAAAAAAAAAATATAAAGAAAAACCTCAAAAGCACGAAATTATAGTTTCGCTAACACTTGTACGAGTAAAGACTGGGTTGTGAAGTGGGCAAGCAGGTTGTGAAGAGTGCAAGGGCCATATGGTGTAAATAGGAAGGATTTTTAGGTTGGAGATTAGGGGTGCCGAGTTTACTGTAAACATTCAGAAGGCCAAGTAGTAAATTTTTTTTTTTTTTTTTTTTTTTTTTTAACCTTTAACTCTGAGCAAGGCCAATTTTGTGAAAGGATAAGGAAATGGGTTATTTGGACTGGAAAGTACAGTGCCTCTGAAGTATGGGGTGGGAATAGATGCCATTTGGTGGGGCATCTGAACCAAGTTATTTTTGGGGTGGGGTAAAGCCTGCCATGGTGGGCAATGGCCACTAAAAAAAATTTTTTTTTACTACCCTGAAGTGCCTTCCAAAAATGTACTGCACTGGCAACAAATTTTTTGCTATTATAATCAAGGCTATAAACCCTAATTTATTGGGTACTTTGCAAGTATGTCAAGGATGTTGAAACAAGAATTAAATGTAAATTTAGTTTATGTACCATTACCAAAGATAGATAAATATCAGCACTATGATGTGCAAGATTCAATTGTGGTTTCACAACCTTCATAAAGAGTGACGGTCACTAAAAATGTAAAGTTAAATTACTTGTTAGTGCAAAATTAAAAGTAATGTGGAGCTGGTATCCTCACCTTCATCAGTTTCTGCCCATGTTCCCGCTCTTCATCACTGGATTCTTTGAAGAATTTTGCCAGGCCTGGGAGGGCTACATCATCCCTCTCGAAGTAGTAACCCTGAAAGCAACATTCAAACTTTAGAAGTAAACTGCCCAAATTAGGTGGATGTTTGTAGACTGCATCAATTTAAATGGGAAACTTCAGAGAAACTTAAGTGAAATCTTAGCATGCAGGTGTAGTTCATTAGAGGGGAAAAAAAAAATAATGGCTCTGAAGTTTAAAGACATGCAAATGATTATGGTAAAGCCTTTAGATTGAAGATGCAAGATGGAGTGGAATTTTAGTAAAAATTGAAAGATCTAGCATTCTGAAATTAGAGAGCCGTCCAATAACATTGGAGTTTAGGCATTTGGAGGTAAACCTATAGAAACTGATTCAGGGCATGAAAACTTGCAACAATATTTAAGTATTGCCACTAAGTGACAATTTTATCAAATAAATCTTTTAGTCTGGAGCTTCAATGAAGACTAGGTTCCTGGCACTAGAAGAACTGGAACTGCCAAATTTACATTGTACACAGATTTTCCTACCTGAAAATATTAACCCAAATGCCCAGTGGTGATCCTCCCCAAACTACGGTGTAGCTTTCTAGTTTACTTGTACTAGTGGCAAGTAGGGCTTTTAAAATTTAATCTTTACGATTAAATTTGTTTTACACCACAGTGGTGCTGACCAGTGGTTCAACAATGGAAAAGCTGCTTAGAGGCAGCTGTAAAATGCTTTAAATACCATTTCCAGGGAAATTAAGACAGTTGCTCGTCAGTATTAAGGGGCAAAGGAAGAATAAAACTTTAGGCCTACGTACCTTGTAGGTTAAGTTATAGCAGGACAACTATTAGAATATGGGTTTCCAAAGTTAAGGATAGTATATTTTAGTCTGGTTGTCCTGCTATGCAACTTATCCTACAACATACATAGGCTATACAACCTAAGTAACCTAGTTTATTTTTATTAGTGTCCCAAAATTATATATATATTTATACATGAACATTTTACAAGGGTACAGTGATTTTTGGCAAAGTGTTTCCCCAAAACTTGGCAATTTGGGTAAACTGAAGTATGTGGGCAACCAAACTTATAATGCAACCAAGAGAATTATTCCAGGTTGGAATAAGTTCACCCCACCCCCACCCCTGATTTGATAATGCCAACAGAAAACTTTGGAGAACATTTATATCAATCACCTGGCCATGAAGCAAGATGGCCCATAGGAAGTCCTACAGGACTAGAAAATTTAGAAATTTTACTAAAAGCAGCAGAAGTTAATGTTTCATGGGCAATTATGGACAGGGAGTGGAGGGTGAAAGTTGCAGATACCTTACAAATGATGGGTAGCTTTAGGAAAGTTATTCAGGTACAGTTCCATTACAATAATCATGGGGTAGCACTAAACCCGTAGGATTATACAGTGCATGTGGGGGGGGGGGGAAGGGGACGGAAGGTATTCAGGCTCAATTCAGGGAACGAGTGCATAGATCCAATTCCCTAGAACAAGAGCCCCTTACTCCAAGGAACCTCCCCTAAGGGGCATACAGTTTCATATATAGCAGCACGTGTAGATACCCATGATACCCCAAAAGTAAGGAAGCGACTCGTCTATTTGAGACCTTGCGCATAAATTTATTAATGTTCGGAAAACCCAAAAAGTCATTGGATTTTTTTTTTTTTTTTTTTTTTTTTTTTTGGGGGGGGGGGGGGGGAAGTTAAGATTCAAAAATAAAATTCAGCTAAAATTAAGAGCATAAAGTTGATTACTTTCAGTAATATTAAGTATACAAGGAATCTCTTTTCAAGCTTTCCGTAAATTGACTTAGGAAGACTAAGATAAACCAGATATTTATATTCCAAATCCAGCTCCGACTACCATAAACTGCCCAGTCCAGCCATCATGACCTACACCTTTACTGCAGTTAATCGTGGATACCAGTTAAAAAAAAATTAGTGGTATTAAAAATTAAATAAATTGCGTGTTTAATATACAGAAATGGGGAAGGAAAAAACCCCCAGAACAGAAGAACAAAGACAAATGGCCTCGCGGCTCAACCGTAACATTAACCTTCAACTATAATTTCACCCCAATTTTAAAGCTACGTATTTACAAGAAAGTAATTGAATATGAAAAAATAATTTTAGAAGCAATAATAAGGATACGTGGTTATAGTAAAGGTTGTAGCGTAGAGCTGTTGCTCACCATGGACAAGTAGACATAACTGGCGTACAGCTCCAGGTTGATCTGCTTGTTGATCGCTGCTTCACAGTCCTCATGGTAGTTCTGACGGACTTGGCTGGCCATTTTGTTGTGGGATAGGTATGGAATGCTAGAAAGACGAAAAAAATGCGATATCGATGTGAAGGAGTGTTGGTGATGGAGGCGCTCGTTCACACACTGGCGACCCACAGCGTCTTAACCCAACACTCACCACTCGCCATCTTTTATACCTCTGGCTCTTCCATCCACCTCCCCGCCATGCTTTATCTTATCAAACTCTCTCTATAGCCAGCTACGCATCTTAACTAGAGGCTAAAAGCATGTGTATGTACAGTTACACGTGTGCTTTATGAGCGAGAATACATTATATCGAGGTTATGAGTGTTGGGGGAACTATAATTTGAAGACCGCTGTTGGCTCTTCCACGGCCTCCCACCTCTTTGTTATCGATCCAGAAATACCTTTCATGAAGCAATACCTTCATCACTGACGTACGTTGTTACGTCTTATACATTAAGGCGTACTTCTGGAAGTTTTTATTAATTATTATACAGTGTATGTGTAGAGGGGGGGTGTCTGGAGTGATTTAGTGGGGGGGAGGAAAGTTACCTTCTGTGGTTCAGACATTTCTTTATTTTTCCCACCCTTGTCATTTTCTTTCGTTGTCTCATACAATACTGCTTACAACACCTAAGTTATTATTCAGGTCCTAACCACGTATTACGTTAGCATTGTCCAAAAATTTCAATTGAATTCAAAGAACCTTTATTACATGTTACATGCAGGGATAGCCTGGTGTAACAGTTTTCCCGAAACTCATTACTAAAAAAAAAAAAAATGCTTGATTGTCTACGTGTGTGTGCATGTTTACTGTAGATCACTACCTTCACCTCCCCAGTTCTACTTCCACACTTGTACACTGTGTGTGTATTCACCTAATTGTGACTGCGGGGGTCGATTCACAGCTCCTGGCCCCGCCTCTTCACTATGTGGGTGTGTAGTTACTAGTTGCTAAAGGCACTTGTCGATAGACACCTAGCCTGTGTTTGATTGAATGTGTGTGTTTATTCACCTAATTGTGGTCGCAGGGGTCGATTCATAGCTCCTGGCTCCGCCTCTTCACTGGTTGCTACTAGGTCCACTTTCTTCTCTACGAGCTTTATCATATTCTTAAGAAATAACCCAGGATAACCCAAGAAAGGCAATGCGTCATCGAGGGACTGTCTCTTATTTCCATTTGTGTCCTCAATCTTGTTCCACAGGATGCGACCCACACCACACCTACTTGCTAGGTGAACAGGACAACAAGTGTAAGGAAACGTGTCCAATGTTTCCACTCCGCCGGGAATCGAATCCGCACCCTCAGCCTGTGAGGCGAGAGCTTTGCCAGCTTTGCCTCCACTACCTCACTTTCCAGACTATTCCACTTCCTGACAACTCTATGACTTAAGAAATACTTCCTAACATCCCTTTGATTCATCTGAGTCTTCAACTTTCAATTGTCACCCCTTGTTGTTGTGTCCCATCTCTGGAACATCCTGTCTCTGTCCACGTTGTCGATTCCTCTCAGAATTGTATAAGTCGTTATCATGTCCCCCCTATCCCTCCCGTCCTCCAGTGTCGTCAGGTCAAGTTCCCTTAACCTCTCATCGTAGGGTTGTTAGGTAAGACACATATGCAACAGTTAGGTATCTTTATTATGAAACGTTTCGCCTACACAGTAGGCTTCTTCAGTCAAGTACAGAAAAGTTGATAGAAGCAGAAGATACTTGAAGACGATGTAATCAGTCCATCACCCTTAAAGTTTTGAGGTGGTCAGTCCCTCAGTCTGGAGAAGAGCATTGTTCCATAGTGTGAAACAATATGGAGAAGAAGTGACAGGATGGAGCTTTTATAGCGCCAGGAGGTGAGACGTAGGCCACTAGGAGAGGTAAGAACTCAGATGTTGAAAGGTTAGGTCCCTCTCAAACCCAGCCCCTCTCACTAGTCGAAGTTGATTGCAGGTCTGTACCAAGATACCCTTGTGTTGCAGTGTCTGACAGATTGAACATTAAAATGGTATAAAATACCGACAGGTTGTTAGGTAAGACACATATGGCAAACAGTTAGGTATCTTTACTATGAAACGTTTCGCCTACAACAGTAGCTTCTTCATTCCAAGTACAGAAAAGTTGATAGAAGTCTAGAAGATACTTTGACGACGATGTTATCAGTCCATCACACCTTAAAAAGTTTTGATGTGGTCAGTACCCTCAGTCTGGAGAAGAGTCCATTGTTCCATAGTGTGAAACAATAAGGAGAAGGAAGTGACCAGGATGGATCTTTTTAATAGCGCCAGGAGTGAGACGTAGGCCACTAGGAGAGGTAATACTCAGATGTTGAAAGGTTAGGAGGTCCCTCTCAAAACCCAGCCCCTCTCACTAGTCGATAGTTGAATTGGCAGGTCTGTTACAACCGACGATACCCTTGTGTTGGCATGTCTGACAGATTGACATTAAAATGGTATAAAATACCGACAGGTTGTTAGGTAAGACACAAATGTCAACAGTTAGGTATCTTTATTATGAAACGTTTTCGCCTACACATGTAGGCTTTCTTCAGTCAAGTACAGAAAAGTTGATAGAAGCAGAAGATACTTAAGACGATGTAATCATCACCATCACCCTTAAAGTTTTGAGGTGGTCATTCCCCTCAGTCTGGAGAAGAGCATTGTCCATAGTGTGAAACAATATGGAGAAGAAGTGACATAGATGGAGCTTTTATAGTCGCCAGAGGTTGAGACTTAGGCACTAGGAGAGGTTAAGAACTCCAGATGTTGAAAGGTTAGGGATCCCTCTCAAACCCCATAGCCCCTCGTCACTAGTCAATGTTTATTTTTTTTATATTTTATTTAAAAGACAAACAGTACAAGATATAAATAAATAAAAGAACACAATTATTAACCGTTTGAAAATACAATTACCTACCATCAACCCCATAGCTACCCACAAGTGTTACATTCATATTGTATTAAAGATATACCATCCACGAACAATGAAACGAACCAGTATCAACCCCTTGCTTCAGAAAAAACACAACAAATTAAACTACAAATCATGCCTATTATAAGTACAGTAAAACCTCCCCTTGCACAAAGTACACAGATGATATGAAGGCAGCAAACGAAGGATAGAAATCATACATTACAATAATTAAACAAAGGCAACCCAACCCTACAATAAAATACAAATGACATACCACATAATACTTCCCGCAATAGGCAGGAACTCTTAAGCATAATAAAAGCGAGAGAGCTCCGCACCGAACAAAAAAATTAGCAAAAACCAAAAAACTCAAAATTTTATGTCTGTGTCCAACATAAATCCCCCCACAACCTGCACAATTAGACCCCTTGCACAAATTGCAACAATAAATATTATTTAACATACAAAAATTGAAAAATTAATAAGAAAACATTAATTTAAACAATTAGGCAAACCAAAGCCGACAATAAACATGACATTGTACATATCACAATGAAACTCCCCAATAAACACTGGCAAGGAAACACCCCTGAAGTAAAGAAAACATCATATACTGCAAGTATCACGCCATAACAACTAACAAAATCCTAACATAAGGTATCAAAAGAAAACTAACTGTCTAGTTTACAGGACATAAACACCTTATCTTCTCCCCTATTTGAAACACTAGTACATTCATTGCTGTTTTTTTTTTTATATAAACAGTCTAAAAATAATATCTAAACAAATAATTTTTTTTTTTTTTTTTTTTTTTTTCGCAAGGTTTAGTCCATCATGGTTTTAATTAAGGTATCCTGATGGAATATCAGTGAAATAACCATAGATTCCAAATCCTCATTCATCTCCCTTCCACTCTATTAATAACCCTCCCACCCTCCACACACTACAAAGAATCCTAAACCAACTCACCCTCATGCATCCCCCGTAGGAGACCAACGCTTTGCCCTGCCCCTCTGGGTTCATGAGGAGAGAGGCCCCCTCACAGTGAAATTCCTGTAACCCTCCTAGGGGCCTCCCGAGAAGCTAACAACCCACCTCCCCCCATAGACTTGCCTATTCCTACACATAGTTCTATAAAATCTACGGATGCTAACGCTTTTAATATTCCTCAACTCTTTCTCCCCTAACCTCCTCTCATCCCCCAAGATACATGTAAATAATCGCGTCATAAACATACATTAATAAGGCTCTACCCACATCACCCCCGGCACCCCCCCGGTTACATCCAACATTAAGGCCCTTAAGGATTGGACATTGCCCCCCCCCCAAAAGTCTGATAACTCTCACCATTCCATAACCTCACCACCTCTCAAATAGGGACAAAAATAGTATACAGCGATGGAAAAAGCCGTTCGATGACTCCCCTCCCCACAATGGGCAAGCATGAGTCCCTCTCCTCACAAGACCATTTTATAACAACACATCCCTAGAGGCCAATATTCCCATCAGAAACCGATATACTAACTCTCGACCCTTGCTGGTATTCTAACAATGCCAAACTTCTCCATATCCAATCCATTATATGTTGGATATACAGCAAGCCCCTGTAAAACACACCTTGCCGCACCACAGCGACCCCACCCAGTTTCGTTTGAACCTTTAAACGTGGACCACCTTGTTTAATAAAAAACATGTAATAAACCCTCACATGTCGCCTCACAATACCTCAAAGCCCTTCCACACACACCACCAATCTACGGCATCCTCCATTACCCTAACCTACCCTGACAACCTCTCTGTTCCCCGCCAGTCCGTGATATATCTTTGTTTAATATATAAAGCCATTACTCTATGACCTCAACTGACATCAGGCCAAACCCCCCACGTCTCCTCTCCGTCGTCACCGACGTCGCTTGCTCAACCATGCCATGCCCTCGCCAAACTCCCCACACAATACCTTAGAACCTTCCTCTGGATTTCTGCAATAATCTGTTTGGCTCTTAAAGGGAGACACCTCAGCCACACCCCCACACCTTACTTAACACCAGAGTAGTTGGACCACTAAAACTCTCTGGGCTGTAATGTTAACGTCCCTGAGCCTTAAGCCTCCTAAGCCTACCCAAAACTCCTGCTCGTAACTAATTCCCGAATTTAATCTTCCTACTCACCTGCACTCCGCCATGTACCATATTCCACAAACCTTAATTCTGTCCACTACTAGACCAACGCCAAACCCCTCCCCAAGCT